TCAAGAAATTATTGTTGAACGGTCGCAGCATACTCCGCCATTGAGCCCGGTATGAAATATGGTGGAGGATTGTAGACCTCGGTCTCTGGTTGATGACCGAGCTAAGTCACGGCTGCCTTCCAACCGCACCTGAAGAAAAGGTCCTTCGCCGCTTCACATTGCTTAATATAAAGGGCTTCACCTTCCTTAAAACCGCGGGTCTCAGCACCCTCCAGCTTCTTCTTCATCTCCTCAATTTCGGCTTTCTTCTTTCCTTCTAGTTTAGCAAGTTCGCGCAAATATTTCTCCTTGATCACGGCTGCAGCTTTTTGTTTCTGCTTCAGCCGAGCTAACAAGACCGTCCAGACGACCGTTCTCAGATTTTAGCTCAGCTAGCTGCTTCCTAGCCTCTTCTAGCTCGGCAGGTTTTTCAATTACTTCGGTCATGGCTTGCCTTGCTGTTTTTCGGAGCTCCAACACACGCTTGTGGGAAATTTGACTCTTTTGCATGGCCTGAAGAAGAATGGAAAGAAACTAATAACAAAACCGAGCAAAAAGTTGGAAAATTTAGAGAGATCAGAGGGGCTGCTTACTAGGATCATTGATTTTGTTACAGACCGGATAGCCTTGAACTCGGTCAAATGGTTGTGATGCTCCATATCAGGGGGCAGACATACACTCTTAGCCAGATTGAAGGCTAGCATATGGTCTTTATCAGCCACCACTGAGTCATTATCACGGATAGCACGATTTTGGAAAGACATTTTTGGAGCCCACTTAGAGGAGCTAGCCCGGTCAGAACGCTCCGGCTGAGGGCTCGGTAGAGGGCTTGGTGGAAGAGTGGTTTCATCTTCATCAACAAGGCGTTGCTCGGTTTGGGTAGTCCGGGCACGCTGGCTGGGGCGAGATGAGGAGGGTTGTTGAGATAGAAGAGTCACCACGGTCTCTTGAGTCTTGGTGGTTGGTGGTACTTCAGTAGGGTGTGTTTCGGTTAGGAGGGCCCTCACTCTGTTCCTCTTCGCCATCTCTTGTTCAGCAGTAGTACAGACCAAGTTAATTTGTGGCAAGGTTGGATCCGGTTCAGTCGATGCCTCCAACAAAAAGTCTGTTACTCTGGCTTTTCGTCAACTGCTGTATCTGTATGTCGGTTCAAAATTGAGCAACTTGGCCCAATTTCTTTCAGGATACCGTAGTGTGGCGCGAAGTGTGTTTAGGTTAGGGTAACTGTACAGTGACTTGAGGTGGGCTGAGTCTGCATAAAGAAGACAACTGTCAGTTCGGTTCAGGAACAGGAAAAAGAAATAAAAAGAGGCATGCAATAGAGCCGAGGTAATTATACCGGTGGTCCCTTTATTCTAGTTTATTCGGTCACCAGGAATCTGGGCTTCTTGGTCTTCGAAGTTCCCAGAAACCCAGAAGAAATCATCGTCGTTTAAATCTTTATCTGGGGTATCTTGGATTATTTTTTCTCGGCGGCGTCATATTCTTAAATAATAAACACAGCCGTCTTCTTTTGACCCTATGGAATATTGGTGGAAGAGCTCGGCTAAGCCGAGGTTAAGGCCAGGCCGACGGTTTAGCTCGGCTATGCCATTTATTATACGGTATGAGTTTGTGGAAAGTTGGGTAGCACAAAGGTTGGTTTGTCTAAGGAATTCGCAAAGTAAGGGCTGTACAGGGAAGCGTAAACCGCACTCCACAATGGAAATAATGTTAAAGGGGACAAAACCCTGTTTTCCCCAGGGGACGGTGTCTAGCTTGGCTAGAGAAAGGTGGACATCATCTGGGATTTGGTAGTCCTTGCGAAATTCAGCTATTGCACCAGGAGAGTTAACTAAAAACCTATACTTTCCCATTTATGGTCTAAGTTATGGGTAAATTAAACTCGAGTGCTATCTCGATCGGAGATTTGTGTTGTGTAGCTCGGTTGAGCGCTCAAAGGAGTGCCTGGGCAACCTAAGTCTGCAAAGTGAAAAACAAAAGTGTTAAGCACAGACCATGGGACCGTGCTAAAAAGAAAACAAAGGCAAGATAAATGAAGCATTTAGCTCGGCTATGTGGCATACTATGGGTTCAAGCTCGGTCTTAGCAAGGGGTCCGATAGCTCGGTCTTAGTAAGCGGGTCGATAGCTCGGGAAGAAGGAAGGTTTTGTTAGACCGGTTGAGCTCCTAGGGGCAGTTTTCTTAGTTTGATCTAAACTAAGAGCGTTGGTTTAGCTCCAAGACATAGCTCGGTCGGAAGTGAGGCTTTCAAACACACTAATTGCGGACTTGGTTCAATTTGTTATCTAGGCTAAGTTAAATCAAAAGATGGTTTGACTTGTTGAAATTAGTAGTATAGCATGAAGTATTAGTTCGGTTGGATAAGTCTGACTAAGATTCACAGTAACTACAAACAACTTTTTAGTTCGGTTATATTGTGATTTTGGATCAAATACAGTGTTCTACAGACTGCTTCATGAAATACAAGGGGTTCTTATGAGGTTTTTCCCAGAAAACGCAAGGAAAAACAAAAATGTGTTTTGTAAAAACACCAACAATATGCTATGGATTAAACAAAGTGCGAAAACAAGAAAAATAGAACAGATTAGTGAAGCTTACCAGGTGAAAAGGAAGGAAAGGGGAAATAGAAAGTAGCCACAGACACGAGCTTCACAGTTGCAAGGATGGAAGAACAATGGAGGCTCGAAGAGAGGGAGAAGGAACTTGAATAGTAAAGTGGTTGATTCGAAATAAAGAGCTTATTTTGTGTAGAAGGCAGGACAAAAAGGGCGGGACTGTTCAAATTTCGCAAAATACGAAGATGGCGTGACAGCTGCCTTAGGCCAATCAGAGTATGCCACGTGTCGTGGGAATGAGAAGCGATTCAGTTGATGTGATTGAAGAGACGTTTTGACCGGACAGGTAAAGCCGACGTAAATTTAGCTCGGCTAGAAAAGCTAAAAGAGTTTTTTAGCTCGGTCAGAAAGGCTAAAGGAGTTTTTTAGCTCGGCCGATAAACAGATAATCCCAATCATGCTATGCAGATGGAATTAAGGGGCAATTGAGAGGATAATTTATAAGAAAAATTGGGCCGAGCTGGGCAATGGGCCGTTATGGGCCACAGTACGAAGGACTGAGTAAAATGGCCATGAAGTTATTCCAGTCCAAATGAGGCTTGAAGTTATTCCGGTCCCAACGAGCTACGGTTAGCTCGGTCACCATACTAAAAGTTATACCGGTCATGGCGCAGTGGTATTAGATCGGTCGGAACCATACTAATTGTTAACTCGGTCCAATCATGCTATGGTTTGTACAGGAGGAACCGAGGTAGAGTTATCTCGGTCTGATCTGCGGCTTAGCATAGCTATGCTTACCTCGGTCATATTGGAGTCCAACCATGGAAAAACCATCTCACTTGGTTTAAGCAGTGAGGGGGGTGTTGAAGGATAAGCATTATCTTTCAGGAGTGTGACTCCTAGGAGAACTCTACACGGAGGAGTAAGAGTCCTACTAGGATTGTGCCACGCGGAACCTATAAAAGCTCACAACATCACCTATGGAGAGGTAACACACAACTTTGACTCTCGAATTCGCAGAGCTTTTTGTCTGTTTGTCTATTTTGCTGACTTAGGCATCGGAGAGGTATCCGGCACACACCCGCCGGCTAGCTCACGTTTGTGTTTTCAGGGAGTAAAGCGACGACGTACGGAGGAGCGCAGACTTGATCAACAAGATTATACGGGAAGAATATTTCGTGCCCGTACAGCACCTTACTTAGATGTATCTAAAAAGTAAAAAATTTGTGAAAAAATATTTTTTTTACAATTTTTTTACTTTTTAGGTGTATTTATGTTAGGTGTGTCTAAAAAGTAAAAAACTTGCTTAAAATATTAAAAAATTTAGTAAAAACAAAAAAATACGGAAAATAAGAAAGTAGAATTTTCTGAAAAGTGTTTTGGAAAACTAGAAACCAAACAAGGTGATTACTATTTACAAAAAAATATATATATAAATAACAAATTTACACAGAAAAAAAAGTACAAGCCAACTGTGGCCGCTATAGTGATGGTACACTTTGAAGTGATGGTATAAATTTACATAGGCGGTGCACAAAAAAGTTACACAAGATAGTGTTATTTGGTCCGTAGGGGCCATCACGCGTCTCTTTTTGATAATCTGAACCGTTCAATGTGTAAAACTCGTCAAGTTCTATATGTCATAAAAACTCATGTTAATCGGATATCGATAGCTATATGATCAAATCAGTTTTGTATAAAAAAATGAACGGTGAATAAATTAACGATTGAAAAAAAACTAATCCGATGAGATAGCTATCGATATCTAATCAATTTGATTTTTTACAAACATATAGTATTCAACGAGTTCTACACATTGAACAGTTCAGATTATCAAAATAAGACCAGTGGTGGGGGCCAACGGGCCGAACAACACCGTCTAGTCCACCCCACAACTTCAAAGCAACGCAGCTAATTGGCTTCCTAAACAATCACTGTCAGTACATGTCTAGGGGCATTAGGGTTAATTTGATAATTTTATTATTTTATATAATATTTTAATACATATTTTTTCACAAAAAATCAAAAAATTATTCTAAATAATTATCTTTTTTTCTTCTACTTCTTTATTTAAAAAATTAAAAAATACACTTATATAATTCATCACAAACAACTCCTTAATCTTAAATTAATCATCACACATCTTTGCAGGTGAGCCCTATGATGACGACTTTCCTATGACTGATTAAAGGTGGTGTCTCGTCCCAAAAAAATTATTGAGAAAAATATCAAATCAATAGTCTTTTTAAATAGGTATTATGAGTCAATTTCTAACAATGAGATATGAATCATTAAGCGTTTTGCTGGTGGATCCTCATTCAAGATGACTTTTGATTTAAGTTGGTGTTAATTCTAAGAAAAATTCTTGGGAGCATTAAAAGAGGATCACTAAAGGGAGTCCAGATCCTCTGCCATAGTTTCCTGCCGTGATTCCTGCCGTGGTGTTCAAACGACGTCGTTTTGGCGTTAAATTCAAAAAAAAATTTTTTTTTTTCATTTCTCTCTCAATCGTTGAGACAGCCCTAACCCTTCAAGAGTGAGCCGACTCGAACGGTTCCTCTGACGCAGAGGAGGGTGAGCAACGACGACTCCGGAGGCGACAGCGGTTGCAGCTGGGCGAGGTGAGGCGGCTGTGAGGTCTCCTCTTCCATCTTCATTCTCAGGTGGTGTTTAAATATGTATGTATATATTTGATTTCTTGATTTGAATTTCTTGTTGATTTCTTAAATGGGTTTTGTTAAGTGGTTTGATTTCTAGGGTTTTATGGGCTTGATTTCTAAGGTTTGATTTCTTCTTGATTTCGTAAATGGGTTTGATTTTTAGAGGTTTTCCCTTCTCTCTCATCAGTTTCAAAGCCCTAATCAATTTACAAGAACAGAGGAATGATCTGAACTGAACCCCATTACTAGTGCTCTCATTAGTTCGGGAGCACCATCATCATGCTTAGTTGATAAAAAAGAGTAGTAGTTTTTGTTATAATATTGCAACAATCAATTTTAAGCAGCCAATTTTAAGCACTGAACTATAACATAGGTATGAAATTGTTTGGAAAAAGGAATATTCATGACTTTTAAGATTGGTATTTCAAGCCTATGAATCATCAAGTGTATGAATGGTACCCACTCTGAATCATCAAGTGTATGAATCATCTAGTTCATGGGTAATCAGAGCACTGATTGTTCCAATGGTACCCACTCTGATAGCTTCAAGTGTATGAACCATGATGCTTTGTATTAACAGTCTAATCAGATTTTGCTCATAGAAAACAAGCTCTGAAATGCCCTGTTCAAAGAAGAGTTATCAGCAATCAGAAAACAAGCTCTTAATGGGGTCGATCTTGTCTCTCACCCAAAAATGGGTTATGTCAACTCCGCTCAAGGAAGCTTCAAACCCATTTGTGTATATGTTGGTTTTTTTTATTTGTGCCACTCGTTGACTTGTGGGTATTGTTTAATTGCTTGTTTTGATTTGTGTTATTTTAAAGGGTTTGATCCTCTTGGATCACTGGTATTCTTTTTTATTTATTTATTTATTTATTTATTTTTTTGTGTATCTTCATCTGATTGAATTTGTTGAGATAAATATAGAAGATGTGGAATATGAATTGAAATTGGGTTTGGGTGGAAGCTTTGAGAAATGGAATCAATACATGGGGGATATATATACAAAATAGATTGTATATACAAAATATTAGTGAGATTTCTCTTTGGCTACAACTTCTTGTTCTCATTCCACTCTATGAAAATAGATTGTATATACAAAATTTATAGTCTTGTCCTGAAAATTGTCTTTGGCTACAACTTCTTGTTCTCATTCCACTCTATGAAGGGGCCCAACATATCTCATAGCACCTTCAGCTGAATTAATTTCTCCATACATGGGCAACAAATTTGGTCTTCTATGCAGCTTGCATAAAACTCTTGTACCAACTGATGCTTTTTTTTACCTTCTTATCTATTTATTTTTTGTAATTATTTCTTTTCTTGTCTATTCACTCATCAATCTCTAGGTCCATTTTAGTGATGGCTGAACCTATGAATTTTCTGTTTCTTAACTACCTTGCATAAAACATGATAAAGCATGTGTGTTCACATTATTGCTTTGTGAACCTACAGATCTGGGAATTCATTGCCAATTACATTAACAAATCTGTATTTTGAGATTGAAACTTTACCTAGAACTTGCAGCATATTGATTCTGTTTTCGGAAGACATTTAACTTTTCCAGAAAGAAAGGGGAGATTACTTGACAATACTGATGAGTTTGCTCTGATGTGTAAATTTGAGCTCTTTTTTTTTTTTCTTCTTTTTTTTTGCAGGGTTGCAGCCCAACAAAGTGTACTATTTATCAATGTGGAGTTCTATACCAGCAATGAGTAATGTGTCCTACAAATGCAACACAAAGAAGTGATGGAATTATAGGAGAAAGAGTTGTGCTATTGCAAAGTGAACTTGTAAGAAACTGAGAGTGTTAGTGGACAACTTTGATTTTTGACCACGAAGATGCAACAAGCAATAAACCTTTGAATGTGTAATTGGTGTTACTTGTAATTGCTATTATTTTAATTATGAAGTAACTATGTTTCAATGTTGTAATTGACTAGTTTGATTTTTGGAATGGTTGGGAATATAGAACTTTTGAAATTTGTGAAATTTGAAATGCTGTTGCTATTATTGAATGTAATGGGTGAACAGAGGGCCGAACTATCCTTAGCTCGGTCTTCTCCTCCAACTCTTTACTTCGGCTGCCCTGTTCAACCTTGATGTGCTTAGTTCAAACTTCCAAGTAACAAGTTCTGACCGACCTAACCATTGTAAGTCACGACCGGACTAATTCCGACACCGGCCTTCCCAGAACATACTGCGACCGGACTAACTGAGACCGGCCCAACTGTGAGTTGCCTCTAGACCGGAGTAGTTTTACTCTTCCTTGGACCGGAGTAATTTCACCTCCTTGGGCCGAAGTGAGTCAACATCTCCGCAGAACCGGAGTAAATCTATCGTTCTTGACCGGAGTAACTCTAACAGCTTGGGCCGAAGTGCCTTTAATCTCTCCTGGGCCGGAATACCCTTTACGGCCTTTTTTACTCAGTTCTTCGCATTTTGGGCCTCAAAGCCCAACTCGCAGCTCGGCCCAATTTTTCCCAAAAATTACCCTCTCAGCTTCGTTTCACATGAATATCATCAGAAGATTGTTTCAACCAGTTAGCATCAGTAACTTGAACGAAACATGCTCGGAGATCAACGACGACGACGCTTGATCATGAAATGAATTGATGACGATGAATCGTAGTTGATATGAGAAACAGCAATCCATATGCAGATGCTCCATTTTGTTGCTATCACGGAGTCGTCAAGACCCTAGAGAGAAAAGAAACAGGGTTTTCATGGCCGCATAGAGTATGTTCCACTGTCAAATTACCTTGGTTGGGCACCTGTATTCAATGATAGAAGTGAGGACGAGTCAAAAAATGAAAATTTTCAGTGGGTTTATATCGAATCATACCCGTCTCTTAGTCAATCAATTAATATAAACACATCTTTCTCATCTACCTAATTTATCATGTTCATTCATTAATTCATCTAACCAAACTTTTTTATCTTTTCCAAATCAAAGTCAGCTTGATAAACACGTAACATTTTAACAAAATAAAACATAAAAATAAAATAAATGATAACTCGTACACGTGAGGTTCACCTAATGTTAACAATGTAATTAAAGTTGGCTAGATTTTTATCGAATTTCTCTGTGTGTATGTCTTATTTTACATACGGTGAACACTAGTGACCATTGGGGCATGCTTAGAGCCAATTGTGTGACAAATAGAAAACTAACTTTCAAAAAAAAAAAAAAAAAAAAATCCCTTTCCTTTGAATTAGTCTAAGAATTTCATGGCTTTGCATAAAAAAATTCTTAAAATCAGCACGGGATCTTTCCTCCCAAAATTTTAACCAATAAATCATATATCAATAATTTTTAACATAATTTAACAATCATTAGTGTTTTAGGATAGGGGCATGAAAATTTAGGGACAAAATCTTTCACCCTAAACAACTAGGAAGATGTCCATGGCTTCCTAGTTTACACATCTTTCGCAAAAAGAACAAGCTCAAATTTAACAAAATGTCCATGAAAATTTAACAAAATGTCCTAGAAAGATGTCCATGAAAATTTAACAAAATCTTTCGCAAAAAGAAAAAAAAAAAAAAAAAGCTCAAATTTACACATCACGGTAAACTCATCAACATTGTGTCTATGGCTTCAACCCAAATGTCCAGGATTATAGATTTAACAAAATTAATTTCCAATGACACACACACACACTCATATGAAGTGGAAAAAATTGAACTGCTCTATTTTGAGACATATAACAATTTCATTCATTAAAAACAACAATTGTGAATCAGCTCAATCAAATAGTGAACTAAGAAATGAACATTATACTAACACAATTCATTGAGGCCTAACTACATACACATCATATGTGCCATTTTGACAACACAAACCATATCTTGTTTAAGTAATGCACAACAAACCAAAATTATCTAACCAACAACTTCAGTTTATGTAGTGGGATTGAAAAATTAGAAAAGTAGAAATACTTTACTACCTTAGAATTTGACTTAGATTTGCTATTGCTGTGATTTGAGACTGATGACTTCTCCTTCACTTGTTTCTTGGCCGTCCCTGTCACAACTTCAAATATTGTTGGAAGATCATTTATCATGTTAAAAAGGTGTTTCCTGCAATGAAAATATACCAGCAAAATGTAATTAGGAAGATGCTCAAATGAAAAATCATACATACAATTTGATCTTTGGATTCCTATTTTTTGGAAGGAGAAACTGTAAAGAGGAAAATAGGGGGAAAAACCCCTAGAAAACAAACCCATTTACGAAATCAACAAGAACTCAAACCCTAAAAATCAAACCCATAAAATCTTAAGAAATCAAACCTTAGAAATCAAGCCCATAAAACCCTAGAAATCAAACCACTTAACAAAACCCATTTAAGAAATCAACAAGAAATTCAAATCAAGAAATCAAATATATACATACATATTTAAACACCACCTGAGAATGAAGATGGAAGAGGAGACCTCACAGCCGCCTCACCTCGCCCAGCTGCAACCGCTGTCGCCTCCGGAGTCGTCGTTGCTCACCCTCCTCTGCGTCAGAGGAACCGTTCGAGTCGGCTCACTCTTGAAGGGTTAGGGCTGTCTCAACGATTGAGAGAGAAATGAAAAAAAAAAAATTGAATTTAACGCCAAAACGACGTCGTTTGAACACCACGGCAGGAAACTATGGCAGAGGATCTGGACTCTCACTAAAGGGAGCACTAATGATGTGGCAGTGGGTCCCGCCCACTTTCTATGCCTTGTTTTTATTTTTTTATTATTTTTTTTGTCATTTCCAATGTATTAGTGCTATTAGTGATATATTTTTTAGTGGTCTAAATCATTGTTGTAATTCTAAGGGTGTAGTTTTGACCCGTGGTCCGTGTGCGGTCTAAAGTCTGTCCGTGATTTGAGGTGGATTCGGCCCGTTAAGATCCGTTTAGACTGGAGCCCAAGCCTAATCCGAGGCCTTGGGCCAGGGCCTGGGCCATTGTTTTGAAGCCCGGCCCGACCCATTGGCCCGCTCAAGGCCCCCCAAAAGCCCAGCCCGAGGCTCGGCTCACCCGATACCCAGTGTTATTTTTAATGAAAAATAATAAAATTTTGGTGAAAAAAATAAAAAAATAAAAATAAAATTGTTTAGGCCGTCCAAAGCCCGAGCCCAGATCCAAGCCCAAGGGCCCGCCCAAAGCCCGAATACTCTTGGGCTTGGGCCTGGACCTAATTTTCTGGCTCGTGGACCGACCTGACCCATTTTTTAGCAGAAACTCACAAGACTCGATATGGGCCCGGCCCGGCTCAAGCCCGGATGAACCGGATCAAAATTACACCCCTAGTTAAGTCACAAGCACGTCTCATTCCGAAAAAAGTATTGAGAAAATATCAAATCAATATTGTTTTTAAATAATTAGTAATGACTCAATTTCTAAGGATGAGCTAAGAAAGTTATTCTTTGCAGGCGGAGCCCTATTGAAGTGAAAATTATTCTTTGTCCACGACGCAATATGATGTGGTGTTATAACAGATTTATCATTTGTTGAATTAGGGGGATTTATTATCTTTCTATGTCCTTTTAAAAAATAATTAAGTACTTATCTTTAGATAAATGATATAGAGTAATGTTTCAGATCATCAAATAATTTTTGGATAAATTACAAATACATCTCTTGAAATTTATTAAAATTACAAATTATCTCATGTGGTTCTAAAAATTACATTATGTCCCATAAAGTTTTCAATTTCATAACAAATAGGTCATTTTATTAATAAATCATCAAGTCAATTTACAGTTTTTAATAATGTTAAAATTTTATTTCAATTAATAATTTAGATAATTTTATTATTATATAGGTAAACAGTTAGAAATTTCATTTTTTCAATTAATTCTATTAAATAAAAAATTTTAACATAAAGTTATTTATAATTTTTTAAATCACAAGAGACAATTCATATTTTAAGCAAATCTCAAAAAGTATAAAAAAAAATGCGGCAGACACCCACCCCCAGTGACCCCCAGCCCCACGTGGCTGTGAGTGATTGAAAAAAAAAAAAAAAAAAAAAAACTAAACTAATTAAAAAAAAATTAGGATCTGGGAGTCGCCTTCCACTGGATAGTCCCTAGCACCGTTGAGAAGTATAAGTATAATGTGAATTTACCCATAATTTTTCCTATTAAAGACGACTTTCCCATGAGTGATTAAGGCCCCTTTTAGAAAGATTGACTTTTTAATATTTTGATTTTTTTTAAATCATAGTATTTATCTACTTTTTTAATATATATTTTTAAAAAATTTAAAAATTTTAAAAATTAACTTTTAACTTACTTTTTCAAAACACCGTAAATTTAGTTTTCAGAAGTCACATGCACCGTGCACGTCTCATTTCGGAAAATTTATTGAGAAAATATCAAATCAATAATCTTTTAAAAAGAATAAATTACACTGTTACTTTTTGAATATTTTTTAAAATCACACTGCCACGTTTGATAAGTGATTTTTTTTTTTTTTTTACTATCTAATTATTTTAAGTTATTTTAATTTTTATATTTAGAAAGATAATTGAATTTCTTTTTATAGTAGAATGTGATGTATGTGAGAGAAAAAATAAAATAATTATGAATTTGATGTGATCTTTTGTCTTATTAATTTTTTAACTTATTTTATTTTATTTTATGGGAAAATTCTATTTTCACACACCTAATTAGTTCAAGGCACACACTTAATGAAATATTAATTTAGTGACAATTATATCCTAAATAAAAATGACCATAATAGACATCTAACAATACTCATAATATTATGTAAAAAAATTCTCTGTATACATCTTTTAAGAACCAAACAAAAAAAAATCTCAATATACATTTTTTGAGTTAAAAAAAAAAAAAAACTCTTATTTTTCCATTGTTTGCTTTGCTCTCTTAGTTTATAATCCATTGATTATATCGTTTTGTCATTAAAATCCACCATAATTCTTTATCTTTGTAATGGAAGAGTTGCAAATCAATGAAAATTCAAATTCAAATTCAAATAACAATATGCCTGGTCACAACAAAAGCAGTTTTGAAAATGTAAGTTTTTGTGTCTAATTTTTTTTTTTTCACGGTTTTAATTCGATAAACCAATGCCGAAACATGTTACTTTTTTTTCGAATATCAACTGTCAAAATTATTAATTCTATTCGAAAATCAAGTTCCGAAACCAAATTCGAAACTCAACTTTCGATTTTAAGAATTTATTTCATTAACCAAGTTCCGAATTTTTTTACATGTTTCGGAAGTTAAAAATCAAATAAACCTTTTTTATTCGGATAACCAGTACCGAATAAGCAAAATCAAATTGTTTCTAAAAAAAAAAGGGAGTTTATGAAAAATAAGAGATGGAGTTTGATACAAAATGATGCTGTTTCAAGATCCATGTTGATACAAGTCGATGCCAATTAATGACTTTTTCGATGTTGACTAGATTGTTGATTGAAGGAATCAGTTTGATGATGTAACTAGAAATCATGGAGCGATTTGCTGACGGATTTCTTATGAAAGATGTTGTGTTTTCAAGGTGGGTGGAATAAAAAATTGGTCTACACCATTGATTTTCTATGGAACAAATGGTTTAAGTGGTGTGTACAAGGATGTTAGTTTAGGGTATAATTGGAACATGTGAGGTGTGGACTAAGAACAAAAATATAAAACCAATTTCATAAGGGTGTCCATTGAGAAATTATGTATACAGAGATAAAAGAGTGTGTGGAAATAGAATTTCTCATATATAGGTAGGAGAATGGGAGAAGTGACACTTGTACCCCTATAACTTTTCATTTACACCCCACCATAAACATATTTGCGTCTCATATTTGTAATTTTTTCTCTTTTTCCCACCTACACATATAATTCTTCTTTTTTATTTGATTGTTATATTGAAAAATATATGTAAAATGATGTTAGGATGGTAAATAACAAAATTACCCCTAATGATTGAATGATTAATGTGGGTTTCAAAAACTCTCAAGGGCAAAATCGTTTTTTCACATACTTAGGATAGCTCTGCCACATTCACGTGGATGTGCTGCAGGCTTGCTACATTTTTTTATCTGCATATGCTTTTTTACTTTTTTTTCAACTCTTAGATAGGGGTGTAAATTTGGCCTGGCCTGGCCCGGCTCGGCCCAACCAGGCCTTGTGGGCTCCTGCCAAAATTTGGGCTTGGCCGGGTTGGCCCATGGGCCAAAAAATTAGGCCCAGGCCCAGGCCCAGGCCCAGGGAGTATTCTGGACTGTAGCTAGCTTTTTGTGTTCCTTTCGGATACGAGAGCCCTATAGTTCGGACTCATATGGTTCTGAATCTGATTTCACAAGTGCAATGTGAAATAGATAAATACATATGAGTCCAAATCCGGCAAATCTTTTGGAAAATCGATTTTGAATCAAAATGCGAAAAATAAATTGCTTTGCTAGATTTCAGAATCGCTACCTAAATATTTTTGAAAAATTTAAGAAACTCATGACTCATGCCAAAGGCCACTTATCCGTCATCACCGAAGTGTCTCGGCTCGAGAACTTAAGTATGAAAGGGGAAGGTCATGAATTGAGCACACCACTCATCCAATCAAAGATCGGCCTCTAATAATCATGATGTGATTCTTATTTACATTATATGTTCTTGTTCCGATTATTAGGCTAATTTACTATGTGTTGCACACAAGTATAGACTAATTTGCAAAAGTCAGAACACTTTGATCTTATGTTTGTTTGGAAATTGTTATGAATATGTACCACTTGAAAAAGTGATCGAATATGTACATTTGTCAAGTTATCTCAACTGAAGCAATTAGCATTCCTTCAGCTACATGCATTCAAGAGTTAGATCAAATAAGCACTTAGCCCCAAGGTAAATGGCAACAGTAACAGTCATGCAATATGCTAAAGCAAATAAGTGCTCACCTAGTACTCCAAGGCAAGCCAAAAGAAATAAAATAGTTAGAAAAATGTATGCTCTAATATGCAAGTGACTAATGCAACACATAAAAAAATGCAACTAATAGGTTCAGTTGTCTAATATGTCATGTAAATCACTTTGATAGTATGCGGTAACGCACGTATTCAAGGAAGTAATAAATGACAAGGTCGTTAGAATGATGAACCAAACCTTATGTATGCAAGACAAATAGATGCAAGTCATGGAAAATGCTAAAAGAAACATGATGCTCTAAGATATCCATCAGAAGCGGGTAAATAAAAAGGAGAAAGAAATGGGGGTTGGAAGACATACACACATTATTACAAGTGTGCCTTCATACAAGAGAGTCCGAATAAATGTCCTAACTAACTAAGCTAATTATTACAACGCCATAAATTAACTAACTCCTCTAGCTACGTACGACACAAAAATTAACTAGCTATTCTAACTAATTAATTAATTACAACACAAAATTAACTAGCTATTTTAACTAATTAATACAAATTAGGATTAAATTAACTAATTAGTTACAACACGGAATTAATTATTGCAAATCCACTACTTTAGGTACAACATACTACTATTAAACATAATTGTAACGGGCCCCGAGGAGTGAGGGATGACTCATGCATAAATGCGGATTTTCTACCCAAAAATGCCCTTTGCTTGGCTGCCAAAGTACTTTTGCTTTGCCGTCAGAAAATTAAACT